GATGTTATGGAAAATAGTAATAGTAATATAACTACCTGCATCATTACTTCCTCAAGCAAATGTGTAAATATTAGATCTATTCAGCAATAACGTTAATTGCATTGGCATATTTATCTGACGTTTTTCCAGCTTGTAGTAGTCGATCAAAAAGCTGTTTAGTTTCTTATGACTATACACTAGCAGTGGAATTTACTGCAATGTGACGGGGCGCCACCTGAAATCTCGCCTAGGGCACCAAATTGGTTTGGTCCGGACCGGCATTTGAAGTATCTCTAGAGACTCACTCTTCACACTAGCGAATTTATGAGGTGTTTGTGTATTTTTGATTAGTTTTTACATTAACAGTGTTTCTGACTTGTTCTATCTCTGTATAATTGTGTATAACCTCTTTCTGCTATCCTTAAATGTAAAGCTCTTTCAGACTTAATTCTTAAAGGCGCTATATAAAATGAAATGTTTTATTATGATTATATTTCAGTGTTATTTCTTCACTGTGGAGTTCGGGCTCTGTAAGCAGGAAGGGAAACTGAGAGCTTATGGAGCAGGTCTGCTGTCCTCTATCAGCGAGCTGAAGGTAACCAACACTACTGCTTTTCTCTGTATTTTGTGTAATGCATGTTTTTACCTTTTATTGATGAGCTTTTTTTTCCTTTTCTCTAGCACGCACTGTCAGGAAATGCCAGGATCTTGCCTTTTGACCCCAATGTGACTTGCAAACAGGAGTGCATCATCACCACGTTTCAGGACGTTTACTTCATGTCAGACTCCTTTGAGGAAGCGAAAGTCAAAATGAGGTGCACAATCCAAAAGTTATAAGCTTACTGCATTTTTGGCAATAAAAAAGCATCATATGTCATAGGTTTAAAATGTATGTTATAATTTTTAATATTTATAGAAAAAATGTTATATTTATAGGAAAAATATTATGTTTTAAATTATTTGTCTCCACTTTTAAATATTATTTATATATATTTAAATATATAAAAATTATTATTATTCGGTTAATCAATACTAAATTAATACATTTCATCCAAATATAGTAATATCTAAGGGTTTTCATATACAGTTGAAACCAGAAGTTTACATACACTCTAAAAAAAGGAACATAACCATTGTTTAAAAAATGTCTGATGGTAAATCATACTAAATGTTTACTATTTTAGGTCCGTTAGGATTACCTAAATTATTTCCATTTGCTAAATCCCAGAATAATAAGATGAATTTTTTATTAATTTCTAGAAAGCCAAAAGTTTACATACATTTCCTTGGTATTTTTTGAGCTTTGCTTTTTAACTGTATAACTTTGAACAAATATTTTGGGTATCCTTCCACAAGCTTCTCACGATAGTTTGCAGGAATTTTGGCCCATTCCTCCTGACATAATTGGTGTAACTGAGTAAGATTTGTAGGCTGTCTTGCTTGCACAAGCTTTTTCAACTCTGCCCACAAATTTTATATAGAATTGAAATCAGGGCTTTGTGATAGCCACTCCAAAACATTCATTCTGTTGTCCCTAAAGCACATTTTAGCTAATTTGGCAGTATTCTTAGGGTCATGGTCTGTTTGGAAGACCCATTTGTGGCCAAGTTTTAATTTCCTGGCTGATATCTTGAGATGTTGCTTCAGTATTTCTACATAATGTCCTCTCTTCATGATGCCATCTATACTGTGAAGTGGATCAGTCCCTCCTGCAGCAAAACAGCCGCACAACATGATTCTGCTGCCCCCATACTTCACTATTGAGATGGTGTTTCCTAAGCTTGTAAGCTTTCTCCTTTGTCCTCTAAATGTAACACTGGTCATTATATGGCCAAACAGTTCAATCTTAGTTCCATCAGACTATAGGACATGTCTCCAAAAATTATTCTTTTTCCCAGTGTAATTTAGCAAATTGTAATCTGGCTTTTTGTGTTGATTCTGCCTTGTTGACTTTCCCATGTTGTCACACGAGGAAGCAGTGTGTTTGAGGTTTTCCTTAAATACTATTCTATAGTTGTGCCTCCAATTAACTCAAATGTTGTCAATTAGCCAATCAGAAACCTCCAAAACCTTGACACCATCATCTGAGCTTTTTTAGAGGCATAATAATCTTATTGTATGTAAACTTTTGACTTTTAAGAAAAGTTATAACAACTACTCAGAAAAATATCTCTGTATTTATTCCGCTATTAAGCAGAACAGAAACAAATGTGATAATCCTAACTTACCTAAAAGAGAAAAAGTTTAGTCACATAAACATCTGACTTTTTGTTAATGGATATGAGCCTTTTTATACAGTGTATGTAAACTTCTGGTTTCAATTGTGTGTGTGTATATATGTATATGTATATATATATATATATATATATATATATATATATATATATATATATATATATATATATATATATATATATATAAAAATATATATTAGAGCCGCACAATAAATTGTTTCAGCATTAAGTCACATCGCAGTATATGCAATATTGAGTTGGGATTAAAGTTGATTATAATCAATGCAGAGTTTAATCATCATGTAGTGAATGTTTATCATCTGCATGCATTTTTAAAGCGATAGTTACAATTAAAAACTTAAAATTAAACTTAACCCGCTATTTTAATTTCACCCTTCACTTGTTTCAAACGTTTAGGAATTTCTTTTTATGTTGAACACAAAAGGAAAATATTTTAGTAATTCATAAACATTCAAAACAGGTGATTTAAATAGTGAGTAAATAAATGTTTGGGGGGTGAACTGTCCCTTTAAGACTATAATATTTCAGAGTTTAAAACATCTGGGCACAAGAAATTATGATGTTTGTAACTTAAATAATAATTACATTAATATCGATATCTGGTAATTAATCAATATCTGTACCTGAATACAGTTAGACTCTCTAGAAAACTATAATTCACTTTTATCTTTGCTATATTGTATTTATCTATGCTTGTAAATTATTTGTAATATATTATTCGAGACTCACTTCACAAAAAAATGATCACCCCAATCAATGTAAAAGTAAGAATTCTTTCCAAATAAAGCTGGTGAAATTATATTCACATCGCAATACAAAATAATATCACAATGTTAGATTTGTCCAGTATCATGCAGCCCTTATAAATAAAAATATATATTTAATTAATAAAATTAATACTACTTTAATATTATATTTAGCTCTTTTTATTGTTTTGTCTCATTTTATGGGGATTTTTTTCTTTTTTTTAAATATATTATTTATTGATTTAATCAATAAATGAAACCTGTGCATCTTTATCTTTCAGGGAGTTTGCAAAGACCATCAAGCGGCCATTTTCAGTGCGTTATAACCCGTACACGCAGAGTGTGGACGTTTTGAAAGACACGACCAGCATCAACAATGTGGTGGAAGAACTGAGACATGAGCTGGACATCATTGGAGATGCATTAAGCAGGCTAAACAAACAACTAGGAGTCTGAAAAACTACATTTTCCAACAAAATCCCCCAGTCCCAAGTTCATTTGTTTTGTCACACTACTTCAATGTATGGCATCAAAGATGTGCTGTATGTATCTACCAAAGTCAAATCCTATATTTTTCCTATATTTATATTATTAGTTTGGCTTTTGTTTGATTAAATATGGGATTCAGCAAAAGGAACTTCTTGTATTTTATGTGTGATTTCTATTCGAGAAGCTGGTTATTATGCAAGGTGATAACAACGAATATGGTTAAAATCAGGCAATTGATCATAAGTGCAAAGTTGATGTCTGCTTATGTATGGGTGGTTTCAGTTAGCATTTTGTTTTAAACTGGCACCTTTATTGATAGATATTTTAGTAATTTGCTTTCTATTTTATTTCTGCACAGTATTTATACTATATAATGAGTTTTGTATCACTGTCTATGAAATGAAATATTGATTCACTGTACTTCTGTGTTAATGTTTATTTATTCATGAACTTCTACGTGGAGTAGGCCATAGAAAGGAATATGTATTAATTATAAATGTATGTAAATATTATATTGGACATTGATGATTATTTTTTACAAATTAACGTTAACGTTACCCTACTTTTAAACTGTTTGCAGTTTGTATAAAGTTAAGTATTTAAAACTCAGAATGAAGTTTGCCTGAAAGTTCAAGTCTGGAGAAATGTGGGGGTAAAGATTATTAGCAAAGAGTTCATAAGCTTAAAATAAAAATAAATCATTGTTTTTCTACTGTAACAAAAATTAGTGTACCGTTTCTTCTTTGCTCCCAACGGTTGTTTTCCTCGAGGCACTTCAAATGTCGAAGTCTGTTCCGATTTCTGGACATGATTTGTCTTATGGCAGACGTAAGTACGTTAAAACTATGATCCTTTGATTGTATAAATAATTTTATAAATAAAACTTTTTTTTTTATTAATTATGTCAATTATAATTAAGCAGACACCTGGTAAACGACTAGAAAGTGCCTTCAGACGTATTTAACGGGGCTCATTAAGCGTTCATCTTCAACTGTGATTTGTTTATTGCCAAAATTGTTGAGAAAAGTAACGAATGCCACGTGACTACATTTTGATATTTTCAACGTGATAAAAATCAACATTGATTGGTATGAATAGAGTGAATATATATTGTTTATTGTAGATATACACTATATTTCTTAAATTGAATTAAAATCTATGCTATAATCTATTGTTTAATTATTATTATTAATATGCAAAGATTAAACGACTTCTTATTTGTAATTAATAGCTATTCAAATATACTTATTGTTTTTTAAATTTTTAAAAAATTTATTTATTTTATATTTGCAATCCAATGTCTTTAAAAATAACAACATTATACATATTTGCCAAACTGATCAACGTTTGTTTTAATTCTGAATAATGTTAAATTATATACATAATATTGTAAGTTGACATTGCTTATATTTTAACAATGTAAAACTGAGAACGTGTCACTTATTTAATAAAAAATAGATATGTAAATTATTAAATCTGCTGCTAAGCCACGCCCATGTTGTATAGTTCAACGCTTATTTCCATTCCACCAACTAATATTTCTTAAATCTGGGAAAACCGATGACGTTTACATAATTTTAAGGCATGTCATCAGTTGGCGCCTAAATCTAATGGAAGGAGATCAGCTGTCAAAATGTGTATCGCTACTGTACACGTGGGTGAGTTTATTTACACCTCATTAACTCACATTTATACACGACTGCCCCACCTGAAATTCACGAAAATACGCGAACTTTGAATTGATAAAGTTAGTAATTCGAAACATTTACATATATCTGAACAATAAACTCTTGAATTTGTGTCACAGGGAGCCAACAGTTATGGTCAGCTCGGGCAGGGAAACGCAGAAGATCAAGCCGAGCCGAGGCGTGTAGAAAGCGGACTGCAGGAGGAGCAGATCCGCGCTGTCACCGGAGGAGGCGGACATTCGGCTCTCATTTCTGGTTACATGGCCTATTTTGCTATAAAATATGTTTTTTAAAAGTTTGAACAGCAATATGTAAGATTACGTTGTTTAGAATTAGTAAAATTGTACTTTAAATCTTTGTATGTTTGTTTACCTTTTATTTGTGGTACATCGCCGCTCCCTAGTGGTCGAGTAGTAGTGTGACAACATTCTCCTTAAAAGTCTTAAAACGTCCTAAATGTCAACGTAAATTTTAGGACTTAAAAAGTCTTAAATCTACTGAAATGTTGTGTTGTAGGTCTTGAATCTTCTTTAACAGGTGTTAATTCTCCTTTCTTAAAACTGGCCATTAACACTCATACAGTCACCAAAAATCTATCTCAATAAAACTTTTTGTTGAAAATTAGCATTTAATTACTTTCCTTGCAGTAACATTTGCTTAGAAGTTCTCCGTTTATTTATTGCTGAGGATACTAACCTGATTTTATATTATTACAGGGTTTCTACAGGGTCTTAAAGTCTTAAAATGTCCTAAATCTCAAAATCCAAATTTTAGGCCTTAAAAAGGCTTAAATTTACTGAAATATTGTGTTTTAAGTCTTAAATCTTTTTTAAACAAGTCTTAATTGTTGTTTGTTCATAAATTGCTACCCAATCTGGCCAAAACCCATACAATAATCAACAATCCATCTCAATAAAACTTTTTATTTAAAAAGGTAATTATTAACTCTGTCATAATGGGTTCATTATTTTCCTTAAAATAACATTTCTTTAAAAGTTCTCCATGTAGATTTATTGTATTACATTTTTAAAAGCTTTAAAATATTTGTTCATTTTTTGATTTTAAAGAAAGTTGATGTTGGGAAAAAAAGTGTATGCATACAAGCTTGTTTTTACACAATATTTCAAATATTTAAAAAAAAAACCATATATATATATATATATATATATATATATATATATATATATATATATATATATATATATATATATATATTATAAAGGTATTATTGTATTAATACTTGTAATAAATTATAATAAAACATTTTTTGATAGGGCAAATAAAAATCCTTTCCACCTGGGCCATTTGAAAAATTCCTTAGGCTTTAATGCTTATAAGTCTAAAATTTTAGTCATAATGGTCTTAAAAATTTTCTAAAAAGTCTTAAATTTAACTCTGTGAAACCTGCAGAAACCCTGTATTAAATTAGTATTATTATTGTAATGTTAGACAGAAGAATTGACAGCTATGTTTTGTTCTATTTTTGGTAAGGGTTATAGGGTTTGTGAATGGATATTTTGGATAGATTTGAAATTTAATAAATGTAATAAATTTTAATAAAATGTACTCCATTTTTAAAAAATTTGGTTAGGGTAAGTGAAAATCTTTTCTAACTGGGATTTTTTAAAACAAATTCTGAACATTTAGCCCTGTATAAGTCTAATTTTTTTTACATAATGATAATGGTCTTAAAATGTCTTAAAAAGTCTTAAATTTAACTTGGTTAAACCTGCAGAAACCCTGTCAGACACTTTCTCCTTTTTTCATTCTCTCCACAGACTCAATATTACCTCACAATATTAAATGAGAACAGAAAATGAGTAATTTCAAATACTGTAACTATAGAAATAATGATACCAAATGTAATAATAATAATGTAATAAAAAAATAACAATTCATAGTGAATGGTTTGGCTTTATCATTGACTTTATCATATCATTTACTTTATAGTTTCTTATCATTTCTCAAATGTTTATAAGACAAAGCTTAAACTTGAATCGCCCAAAACTAATTCTTCTCTTTTCTTCGACATTTATGAATGCAGTATTTTCCAAACAAAATAAACAGAAATTCCAGAAATGCCTTAAAGAACTTTCGAAGAATCACTCCAAATCTATTTAGTACAAATACAGTCAACAAAAAGATGACAAATACTTAATTCTCCACAGATTCAGGCGAGCTGCTGGTGTGTGGACAGAACCACAAGGGTCAGCTAGGGCTCTGTCACACCTTAGAGATTATGACCTTTCAGACCTGCCCTTTACCTGGGTTTGGAAGAGTTCAGCAGGTGTCCTGTGGGTGGGACTTCACCATTATCCTGACAGGTGAGTGTTTGGGTCATTAAATTCATATGTGGTGTGATCCTTCTCCATAAAACCATTCATTAAGGTATGCTTTGTAAGAGAGAGATCTTTACATGATCCTAATTCTGAACACTGTATTACTCATATTGCCATGAACATAACCAATGCTGGAGTGGTACAGGGGCTCAGTGGTTAGTCACCTCACAGCAAGAAGATTGCTGGTTCAAGTCCCAGCTGGGCCAGATGGCATTTCTGTGGAGTTTGCATGTTCTCACCGTGTTAGCGTGGGATTCCTCCGGGTGCTCTGGTTTCCCCCACAGTCCAAAGACATGCGCTATAGGTAAATTGAATAAGCTAAATTGTCCGTAGAGTGTGTGTGTGTGTGTGTGTGTGTGTGTGTGTGTGTGTGTATGGGTGTTTCCGAGGGCATCCGCTGTGTAAAACAGGTAGTTTATTCTGCTGTGGCGACATCTGAAATAGAGACTAAGCCAAAAGTAAATTAATGTTTAAAAATGCTGTTGATATGGCATCAAAACGTAAACAAAGAAACAAACAAATTCATGACTGAAGCACAAGGTTTCTGTTTTAGTTTTTGGATGAATTTCTCTTTAAAGCAGACCTATTATGCCCCTTTTTTACAAGATGGACTGTAAAATAAGTCCCTAGATGTCTTTAGAGTGTGTATGTGAAGCTTAAAATAACACACAAATAATGGTTTATAACTCATTGAAACTGGCCCTTTTTAGGCTTGGATCCTAACTGTGACGTTTTGATGACTATCGCTTTAAAATCAAATGAGATTGTGCTCTTTTCAAAAGAGGGCGGGGCTAAAAACACCCATGAATCCGATTCAAAACTATCAAAGGCTATCTCTGTGAAGAAGTGGCTCAGAAGAAGTTGAACAACTTTATTAATCCCAGCAAGAACAACTAACTTAGAGCAGTAGCATCATGATACAACAAACACATAAAGAAACAAATTACTTACAAACAATATTAAAAAAACACAATCCAGCATGTTTGATAATAACTTCAAAATTATACTACAAAAAAAAAAAAAAAAACAGAAATAGGAAAGACCCATACATTAAAAATGTAAAACTTATAAAGCCTTATTGCCTCAGCAACAAAGGTGAAGTTATATCTATTAGAAGAGCATTTAATACTTCTAAACCTTCTATAGAGTAACCTATGATAATCTGTGCAGAATACGATGTTCATGTGTGCATTCTAAAACTCAATACTAATAATGCCTTAATATGTTCGGCAGGTGCAGCTCATAAACTAACAGGGACGGCTGCTTCTCACTCAGGGCTGTCTATGCTAATGAGCGAGGGATAGTCATTAATGGGCAGGGCTCTTACAAAGGGAGAATGTCAATCAAAGTTTTTATCAAGTATAATTAAAAATATATATATATATATTTACTATTAGAGGCTGACTAAATGATGCGCGGATGGCGGTTATATCCTCAGGCGCTTCGGATAATCAGCGGGTCGGGTAATTAAAAAATACATTATGATTAATTGTGGGTCGGTTGCAAGTGGATGTATCGGGACATGGTAGTGGACCAGCGAAAAAGCAAAAGCAGAGTGTTCTTTGCAGAATGGGAAGAGGAGACGCCCAAAATAATGGAGGAAGTGCAAGAGTTTCAGTTAGAGGAGTCATCAGAGGAAAGTCTGCTATCGTTCTGGGAGAAACAAGATCGCCTATTTCCACAACTGCAATCTGGCAGCTGGCCACTTTTTGGAGGCGAGGCGGAATCGCCCAAATCCAGGCACAGTAGATGCTATTCTGTTTTTGCACAGTGCGAAGAAAAAGGACAAGTAAATATAACATATTTTTCAGCCGTGTAGGCTGAAGTGGCACCGTTTTTGTTCCTGTATCTGCTAAAGCTGTAATGTCTTATTTTTACTTTTTGTGTCTATTTGTATGTCTATATGTAGAAAATGTTATCTAAAGACAAACGTTTGTTTTTATGAATAAAAGTTCATTTAAAAACGTTTAAGAAAAACGTATTATTTTACTATCAGAGATGCGCAGATTAAAGCTCTCTGAATCTGCTGTTAATATACGCGGTGAACTATCATCATGCCTAAAACAAATAATTAAATTATTAAAGTGATGATCGGGCGCGGGTCAGGTGTAGATACATTTATCAGATAAAACTATGTGGTGGCGGGGGCAAGATTAGTATGAAGCTGCGGATTCGGGTGTTATTTCAGCTAATCCATCTCTAATCCACAAACTGTTGCCACACAACTGTGTTTAAACCCCAAATAAAAGTCATTTTTGCCTAATTGGTCCACTTTAAGTTTGTTATTAAGTGTCTTTTTTAGAGTTTAATCTGGAGCTCTTACTGTAGTTCTTGTTTAATTCAGCTCTTTTCTCTGATCTGTGTGTCAGGTGATGGTCTGGTCTTGGCTTGCGGCTCTAATGCATTTGGTCAGCTGGGCGGTTCGGCAGAGAAAACACACTCAGCAGAGCCTCTACTCTTGAAGGTGGGAGCCTGCGGAATAGACTGTGTGTGAATCAAGAATGTAATTAAATAAAATCACGTGTTCTGCTTGCAGAGCTTCCATGAGCCAGTTACTAGTGTGGCTGCAGGACTCAGACATGCTTTAGCAAGCACAGGTATTACATGAAGTATTTGTATATAAAATAAAATAAAAATGTGTATCTAATTTATTTTAAGTGCATTACAGAATGTGATTATTTGTAGTCTGTACGCATTTAGTTTTAACAACTCTAATAACTATAAATAGCTATACGATAAATAATTTAATGGTATAAATTTATTCTACACTTTTTTTATCTTACTTTTTATCTTTACTTTTAAATATCATATTTATTATCACATTTATTAAGTATTATTTTAAAATGCTGAATGTGTATACGGGTTTTATATAAACTATTGCATTTTTCTCATTTAATTTATTCCTTTATTTAATAATAATGAAAAAATATTCTAAAATAATTACTTTAAATATTGAAAATATTTAATTTTAATATATTATTAAATAATCGATTATTAATATTGATTATTCTTTTAATTTTTTAAAATATTGACAATATATTATCTGAATATTGAAGATATGTTTTATAAATATTTTATTAGTATAATTGCACATTTAATAATAGAGATTATGTATTTATTTAATGTGTGTGTTTGTGTGTGATATTCAACTTTTATCTGTGTTATTTCCTTTTATGTAGACACAAATAATTTGTTCAAATATGTGTGTGTGTCTGTCTAAAGCATCAGGTTGTGTTTATCAGTGGGGAACGGGTCTGTCTAGTCACGCTAAGAGAATGTTGAATCCCCAGCCTGTTCCTTCACATCTTTCCTCGAAGGAGCCCTGCCTCGTCCCAGGTAACACTAAATCAACCTTAAACCCTAATATTGAAACACTCATAGAAAAAATGGCTTGTTACTGTTAGTTATTACAAGACATAAAATATGTAATATTGTAATTAATGTCAGTAAAGTTACTGTATATGATTCTTCTGCCAATAAAGAGCTTAACAACATCTCAAAACACACAACATCTTATAACGATTAGCAATGCTATCAGTTCACCTCATTAGGTCAATAGGGTTAAAAAAACTGTTCCTTCTTATATTAAGTGATACTAACTACTATGTATAACATCAAAATATAGATACAGTGTTCTTACAGTGTTGTGGTGCTCTTGAGGTGGGATACGGGTATGGTCTGGGACAGGTTTGGTGGTATGGGTAGGTTTAAGGGTGGGTTAAGGTGTGAGGGAAGGTCAATAGTGTAATTACAAAAAATAATTGCAGATCTACTTACATGCAGGTATTTAATCAAGCAATACACAATAAGTACATTGTACCAAATTATTAATTTTAGTGTAAGCACATTTTAGTTAAGGCCACATAAAATGAAGTGGGATCAAAAAAACAATACTAAACTAATATAAAAAAATATAGTAAACTGATACTTATCAATTTCAATTTATTTAAGAGGATAACCCCATGAGATGCAACATCTAATTTTCAGTGGGTGCCATTGGATTGATTACATTAGGAATTTCAAATATTATTACATTTATAGATGCAGATGACGCGTTATTTTATTTCGTATACTAATTTGGATACATTTCTAGCACAATCTCTCATTGTAATGTGAGGGACTCTGACAACAAAGTTAAGTGTCCACGTGCAGTTTATTTTAAGGATGGTCAGGTAGGCAACGGTCAACACTGTCAAAGAACAGGCGAATCGTCAGTACCGGCAGCAATGAATCAAAACGATAACACAAGGCAAGGGGTCAAAACACGACTTGGCCAGACAATGGAAACTGTGTCGTAATGTCACAAAACAGTTAACTAGACTCGTTAACTAGCTTTTGAAGTCCAAGTAATCAGTTCATAACGATCCCTCGGCTGTGTGTGTGTATAATCAAGGTGAAACAGGAACAGGTGTGAGTGTGTGGTGCATGAAAGGATTTGTAGGTTTTTTTGGTGGCAGAATTGTAGTTCTCCAGAGATCTGTATGGACTAGATCGCTGGCAATTGTGACACTCGGGTTCAAAATTCATTTTTTGAAAACATTCTCATCACTCTTTATGGCTATTCATATATAAATACTGAGAATGGCCGGAAAAAAACACAGAATGTAAAATTTATTCTATAAAAAGCTTTTATAATACAGATGAAAAAAGGTGCAATTTGGTGTTAGATAAGAGCTGCTTAAGTGAAGATTTATGAAAAAACAAACAAATCTTAAGCAAAACAAATGTGTTGTAATTTAAATGCACACACTCACACACACATTAATAAAATGTGACACTTAAAAGTGCATTTATTAATGGTGTAACGATACGCGTATTTGTGTTGAACCGTTTGGTACGAGACTTTCGGTTCGGTACGCATTACAAACCGAACAATTCAGACTGATATCTAAAAAGATAAAAGAGTAAAAGTGTACAAAATATAATCTTTTCAGTGCAACACCGCTCAACAGGGCATCCCAAATGACGTGACAGGCAACATGCTGCCTTCCTCACCCACCTCCAAACACTACTCCAGTCAGGCAAACGCTGCACTTGCTTGCAAAATGGCTATAACGTTAATGTAATCCTCCTATAACCAACAGCAGGTCTGATTTTTGGGAACACTTTGGTTTCGGTACATTTGTAGCTGTCGATATGAGACAGGGCTTGAAATTGCTACCGTTTAGCTCGCATATGTGGCCGAAATTTTATCTATGCGACGTCAAAATATATTGGAGTGCATAAAATTGATGTCGTGCGACCAGTTTTCTTAGCAAAATGTTCACCATGTGCGTGGAATTACGAGGCATTCACACATTAAGCATCTTTTCACCTAAAAACGCCAAACGCAGCGCCCAGGAATGGTTTAAAACAGTTGACATGATAACTTGCAGTAAACAAAGCTTGCAATGCTTGCCCTGCCTTCAGCCTTCATGACAGGGCACTACAGCCACGAAAACGTAAAGGTCTGGATACGAGAGAATGAAAACAAACAACACTGGCAGATTTAGTTTTGGAAACCACCTAAAGTTACAAATAATGGCACATCTGATTACTAATCATGAAATGAATGTCAATCCAACATTTACACTTTTCGAAGAGTGGATAAAAGACTTCCAGTGGTTAAAGTCTGCTATGAAACCCGTAGGTCCGTAAAGCCGGTGGGACAGAGTTTTCAAGTAACAGTGTTTGCCATTGAATCTACACATTTTAAGCACGAGATGTTCTAACGTTTTTTAATCCTTCATTTAATCGTCACGATGCTGTTAATCGTGCAACTGACACCGCGTTCACCATCGCTAAAGAACTGCATTCACTGAGATGAAACTAATATTGCAGCTCATGAAAAAAACGTTACTGCTATTAAGATGACGTATGCAAATAATAAGTTATAAGTCATCTGTGCAATATCAGACAGCACCCGTGAAAACAGCACAGTTATTATTGTTAACTAATAAAGTAAATTAAAAATCCGTAAATTAAAATCAGAGAAATCTTCTGGCTTTTTTATTTTTTTGCTGTATCGAAAACATACCGAAGGGTGACACCACTGTGTCGTATCGAACCGAACCGTGATTTTTGTGAAGCGTTACACCCCTAGCATTTATTATGTTTTCTTTTTACACTACACAAAAATATTTTATGAAAATTATTTAAATTCTTATTTATTTAAAACGTTTTTCTGGCTTTCTCATCTTCAGGCTTTGCTCATGTGACCACACAGAAGGTCATTGCAGGCTCCGCCCACTGTGCTTGCTTGACAGGTGAGAGATAATCTCAAGCAAACTCTTTAATGACTGTCTTTAATCCGATTGGTCAGTTTCACAGAAGTGTTTTCCACAGTGAACGGTGATGTGTTCCTCTGGGGCAGCAATAAACATGGTCAGCTGATCAGCGGGAGCCTCTTCCTGCCTCTTCCTGTGGCTTTGGATCGGTCAATGCTGCAGGACGAAAGGGTGAGCGATGTTCACAGCGGCTGGACGCACCTCGTCGCACAAACTGGTCAGTTATGCTAAAGTCCCTTTAAGGAAAGTCAATTCACTCGGTGGCCATCTTTGAAAGGCCTCTCGGGCAGCATGCTCGGTGTTCTGTTTGAATGGGGAAACATCAAATCCTCTAAATTTGCTTGCCAAGCTTATGATTAAATTTCATTTTAGGAATCACCAATAAAATTAAACAACAATTGGTCAGGTCCAAAGCTCTTCCCCGGAGAATCGTCAGTCTATGCTGATCAATGATTGACCTTTACACTTTTCCCTATTCAAAACTATACGAGTGACATGTCATGTGTGTTCTACAGTCTTTTGTCATGCTTCACACAAACCTTTGTTTATGCATTGTTCCCTGATGAGATGATGATGAAAAAATATATTGTGTATTTACAGAGAGTGGGCGGGTCTTTACGTGGGGCAGATCCAATTACGGACAGCTAGGCCAGACTAATCACAGCATGGAAAAACAGTCATGTGATGAGCGCCTTGTGAGATCCCCTGTTGAGGTTAAAGCTTTATTTGGAGCCACACAGGTATGATGTCACAGATACTGTGGAAAAATCGTTTAATTTTTCTGTTTTAATTATTCTATTTAATAAGACGATACATAGTAGAATAAGAAACAACAGACTGTCTTAGTTTATATCCACTCATACTTTACTATTAGACTATACATCTTGATGCATGCAATGCAGAATGAAATGACAGTTTATCGCAATGTACACTCAATCATAATTTTCTACTCAAAAAATCCCCTCGGAAAAAGAAAACAATCCTCTAATGAAAAAAAAATGAATACATTAATTAATACTATTGAGAAATGTTACATATAAGGAAGTAAATAAGATTTAAAATAAACTAAGTGTTTAAATAGATGAAAAGTCACTCTGAGGAATTACTGTTATATTAAATTATATACAGTTGAAGTCAGAATTATTAGCCCCCCTTGGAATTTTTTTTTCTTTTTTTGAAATATTTTCCAAATGATGTTTAACAGAGCAAGGAAATTTCCACAGGATGTCTAATAATATTTTTTCTTCTGGAGAAAGTCTTAGTGTATTATTTCGGCTAGAACAAAAGCAGTTTTGAATTTTTTAAAAACAATTTTAAGTTAAATATTATTAGCCCCTTTAAGCTATATTTTTTTCAGATTGTCTACAGAACTTATAATCGTTATACAATGACTTGTCTAGTTACCCTAACCTGCCTAGGTAACGTAATTAGCTTAGTTAAGCCTTTAAATGTCACTTTAAGCTGTAAGAAGTGTCCTAAAAAATATTTAGTAGAATATTATTTACTGTCATCGTGGCAAAAATAAAATAAATCAACTATAAGAGATGAGTTATTAAAACTATTATGTTTAGAAATGTGTTGGAAAATCTGCTCTCGGTTAAACAGAAATTGGGTAAAAAAAATAATAAGCTCAATCGTAATTGTGGTAAAATCACTGTAATGCACAGCCTTTTGTGGTTTATTGTAAAATGGCAGCAAATATGAAATGTAAAAAATAATGAAATGTTCAATAAATGTGTTAGTTTTAAATAAACTCAGATGCCTATTTCCATACATTGTTATGTTAAAAGAAATCTTATTTTTGTCTTTTTATTTTTCTTTTTTTTTCATTAATTCAGTCATTTCCCTTTAAACCTGTTTTAACACATTTTAATCTGTTTTTAATCATTTTTATTATTTTGTTTATTTCTAATACTTGTATTTTATGCTTCTTTTTTTCTTTTTTATGTGAAGCACTTTAAATTACTATTGTGTAATGGTAATTATTTAAATGACCAAATGTGCCATATAAATAAAACTTGACTTACCGAAATAAGTAAAATATAAAAAATAAAATAAAAAAAGAAAGAGAGAGAGAGAAATTAAAAATTATTTAATAAAATTATGAGGTAAAAAATTTAAAAACGGATACAACATTAAGTTATAAAATGAATAGTTAGTCTTTAGTTTTTTAATATGGATTAATTCCTAATTCTAACATTAACTAATTTGTATGACTTTCTATATCATCATTTAGCTTTCTAGAACTAATAATAATAATAATATTTATTATATATATAATAAATATAGTTTTTTTTTTTTTTTTTTTAACTTAAGCATTTTTTATTCATTATGTGTTAGAAATTGGCTTCCATAAATAAACAAGTCTTTATCAGCTGTAGGCTGCAGAATTGTATGACCCTATACCTCATTGTTTACAATTACAGTGGCTTTGAACACAACTCAGAATCACAGCTCTCCCTAAAAACACTACATAGGCAGATGAATGCAGTGTGTATGGTCTTCCAGCAGGGGGCGAACATACTCTGCGCCTTCCCACAATATCTTTCCACATCCTGCCCAGAGACACAGGCTTGATTTAAATTGAAGGTCATGGCTTACCTTAGAAAAAGCAGCATCCGTCTGCATGTGTGTTGAAGACAAAGACTCGACAGCACACTGTTTCAAACTCCATTTGAGAATTAGATGTTTGCTGCGTCAGTGGAGCTTGAAATCAAAGAACAGCCTTCAGACATTGTGAGCGAGTGAAAAGAGACGTTTGGCATTTATGTCTTTTTAACATCCTGTTTTCAAGTTCAGAGAGGGACACGTCATGCAAATATTGTCAACTGTATTTCTGGATTTCTTTTCGTGACTTGGTTTTTGCTTTTTCATGCACTTGGCAATTTTTGGATTTTTTTAAAGGGTTTTTTAGTCTAATATACAGAAAAGATGCAAAATACACTTTTAAATGGTTATTCTGTTGTGCGTTATTAGTTTAGTCTAGATTTTGATTAAAGTACAGTTTTTTTTAAGGGTGTTTTCTCTAAATGTTGCATTTTGTGCATGTTTTTTCATGCACTTGGCAGTTTTTATAGTTTTTGAAAGGCTTTTTTAGTCTAATATAAAGAAAACATGCAAAATACATATTTAAATGTTTACTTTGTTGTGCTTTAATTAATATCTACAGACTAAATTAATAAAGTACATGTTTTTAAGGGCATTTTCTCTAAATTTAGCATTTTGTGCATGTTTTTTCATGCACTTGGCAATTTTAAGAGTTTTTGAGAGGCGTTTTTTTAGTCTAATATAAAGAAAACATGCAAAATACTCTTTTTAAATGTTTATTTTGTTATGCATTATTAATTTATTAATTTAGTCTGTGGATATTAATTAAAGTACATGTTTTTTAGCATTTTGTGCATGTTTTTTCATGCACTTGGCAATTTTTAGACTTGTTTGAGAGGCTTTTTTAGTCTAATATAAAGAAAACATGCCAAATACACTTTTAAATGTTTATTTTGTTGTGCTTTATTAATTTAGTCTAGATTTTGATTAAAGTACAGTTTTATTAAGGGCGTTTTCTCTAAATGTAGCATTTTGTGTATGTTTTTTCATGCACTTGGCAATTTTTTGAGTTTTTAAAAAGGCTTTTTGTAGTCTAATATAAAGAAAACTTGCAAAATACACTTTTAAATGTTTATTTTGTTGTGCTTTATTAATTTAGTTTGTAGATATTAATTAAACTGCATGTTTTTTGTAGCATTTTGTCCAAGTTTTTTCATGCACTTGGCAATTTTTAGACTTTTTTGAGTTTTTTTTTTTAGTGTAATATAAAGAAAACATGCAGAATACATATTCAAATGTTTATTTTGTTGTGCTTTATTAATTTAGTCTGTAGATTTTAATGAAAGTACATGTTTTTAAGAGCATTTTTTCTAAATCTAGCATTTTGTGCATGTTTTTTTTCATGCACTTGGCAAATATTTTTAAGACAAGTTTTTTAGTATAATATAAAGAAAACATGCAAAACAACAGAAAAAGACACTGTGCCCCGGCGCATGGTCATTGTGTTTATTCTCTTAACGAGTTATGGGTGGGTTTTGAGCAGAACGTGCATTAAACCAATCAGAGTCTCATCTCCCATTCCCTTTAAAAGTCAAATGTGTCACGCTATGGCACATTTGTTATTTACATGGCGGACTTTGTAAGTGAAAAAACGGTACGCTTTACTAACGAGAAAACAGTTAAACAGACCGTCTGCAGCGCGAGAATAATGAGCCTCCTTCATTCAGCCTTTTTACTTTTACTCTTTACTCCTTTACTTTTGTAAATATGGAAACGGTGTTACACTCCACTGAAGACACCCATTAGCCTACATATTTAATTTTGTTTGTTAAGCGCAAAGATTTGTTTTAAAACTATTTCTATACTCATTTCTAGCTTCCAGCAAAGGAATAAATGAACAATAATAACAAAGTGTGGTCAAAATACTGAGTTATATATCCAAACACATGTCCTATGCCCCATATGCCCCAAAACCCAACAGGTTGACAAATTTAAGTTTGTTTTTATTAAAATAACTTAAATATGCATATAACAAATAATACTGCTAATAATAATAACCATATACAAAAGCAAGTTTTTGTGAATAAACTGAAACTCCGGTTGCTACTGTTTCCCCCACAAATTCAAAGACACGCACTGTAGGTGAATTGGGTAAGCTAAATTGTCTGTAGTGTATGTTTGTGAATGGGAGCGTATAGGTGTTTACCAGTGATGGGTTGCAGCTGGAAGGGCACCCGCTGCGTAAAACGTGCTGGATAAGTTTGTGGTTCATTACGCTGTGGTGACCCCCTGATTAATAAAGGCACTAAGCTGAAAAGAAAATGAATGAATGAATGAATGAATATTCTCTTTGACTTTCTTTATTCTAACACAAAAGGAGATATTCTGCAGAGTTTTAGAAAGCAGCAGCCATCGACTTCCATATTTTTAGTTCCTACCATGGTTGTCAGTAGCTTTTTTTCAACATTCTTCAAAATATCTTCTTTTGTGTTCAACAGAAGAAACAAATTGCTAAAAATTTACAACCACTTGAGCGTAAGTAAATACTGAGAATTTTTTTGTCTGTGTCCCTTTAATATTTTTACCCAGTTCACCCACAGTGTCTTTCCTTAATCTTCAAAAGTTGCTTATTCTACAATGTCCTGGCAGCGGCGAGCTGTACTGTATGTTGATGAGAGGACGTGGATGGGACGGTGTCCTCTGGAACTCCTCAAGAGGGAGGGAGTGGGTATAGAGAGAGGGTCACGATCAGCCTGCAGTGCCTGACAGTATGTCCAGTTTTACAACTGAATCGTGGTTGACGGCAATACGTCGCCTGATGTCAATCCAAACAGTGCCTTTTACTCTTCTGCAGAGAACTAAAGGAGATTTTGTAAGATTTCTGCTGTGTATCTCATAATTTTGTCGTTGTTATAGACTTTGCTTATTTATTTTGATCATTTAAAGGGTCACAAAACCCTAAAACACATAGTTTGAGGTGTTGAGAGACATATACAGTTGAAGTCAGAATTATTACCCCCTTTTAATTTTTTTTTTTTTTTTAAATATTTCCCAAATGATGTTTAACAGAGCAAGGAAATGTTCACAGTATGTCTGATAATATTTTTTCTTCTGGAGAAAGTCTTATTTGTTTTATTTCGGCTAGAATAAAAGCAGTTTTTAATTTTTTTAAAGCCATTTTAAGGCCAAAATTATTAGCCCCTCTAAGCTATATATTTTTTTCGATAGTCTACAGAACAAACCATCGTTATACAATAACTTGCCTAATTACTTAATTAACCTTGTTAAGCCTTTAAATGTCACTTTAAGCTGTATAGAAGTGTCTTGAAAAATATCTAGTCAAATATTATTTGCTGTCATCATGGCAAAGATAAAACTAATCAGTTATTAGAAATAAGTTATTAAAAATATTATGTGTAAGAAATGTGTTGAAAAAATCTTCTCTCCGTTAAACAGAAATTGGGGAATAAAAACCAGGGGGGCTAATAATTCTGACTTCAACTGTATATGTGTCATGTTGCTAAAAACACTATTAGGACACATTTTACTAACAAGTGAAAATTAATTTTTTAAATGTTTTTAGAGCAGTGTTTCTCAACCACGTTCCTAGCATGACACCAGCTCTGCAAATTAACCACGTCCATCTCATTAGCAGAGACTGTAAGACTTGTAATAGGCATGAAAGACGAAGGAAACATCCTAAACATGCAGTGTTGGTGGTCCTCCTGGAACGTGGTTGAGAAACACAGCAAATTCTTCCGGTTTAAAAAGAAATTTTGGTGCCACGTCACTACGATGAGGTCATTCTGTAAATTCCAGTGTGGTGATTGGTCGGCAGTGTCGTGTAGCACACAGTCACAGTGATTGAGAACCGCTGATTTAAAGATGCTTATAGGGGCTTTTCTGCACTTAACACCTGGTGTATTTTAGAACCAGCTCAGCTTCCAAGCGAGCCATACCATTACCAAAATGTGATGTATTCACACTGCTGATCACCGATTGGGTTGAGAGAATGTCTTGAGATGAGTTCATTCACACATGCAGCTTCAGCCGACAGCCTGTTTCACACCTGCACTGCGAGTGCTGGATCTCCCACAGTGCACTGCGGTAGCGGAGGTTTCATCACAGCAGCTCAACATGAACAGCAACACTTCATTATCACAGGCTGAACACAACTGTATCTACACACTCACAAACCACTCACTCTTCATTTAATGTCACATATACACTGTGCTTATATATTATATTGGATTAATTACACAGTCTAAATTATGTGTAATATATAATTCTAGGTTTTTATGAAAAGTAGAATATATATATATATATATAAAAATATATGTATATATATGTATGTATACATGTATGTATATATATATAAATTTAGATCTACAGTATAGATGGCTACAAGTCATCAAATATAATATTTAAAATATATATATAAATATTAAAAAGTATTATCTATTGTAGACAGGTCGGGACTGCAGGCAGGCCAGTCAAACATAGTTCATATTTACATTAATTCTAATTGTCTTTATATTTGATAATAATAATTATTAAAGTGTAATAATACTATCTAGATCATATACAATTAATTTTATATTATATTATTTATACTTATAATTAAATAATTTCAGTCATTTATATATCATTAATTATACCTTTATTAAAGCAAACATAATTAACATTAATAATTATTAAAAAATGTAATTGTATATTATTTATAGCTTTTTATTTGATTATTTTACTTGTTACATATAAATATTTAATAATTAAATCAATATTAGATTATTTAAATGAATAAATAACAAAATCATTTGTCAACAAAATTACATTAAATTTATATGCAATTGAATATTTTAGTATATTTAAATGTTTTATATTAATTATCCATGATTATCAGTAATTACGTATAGTCAAGCCTGAGGGTATGAATAATTTATATATATATATATATATATATATATATATATATATATATATATATATATATATATATATATATATTACTATAAGCAGTATCAAATATATTTAAAACAAACTTACTAATTTTAACACAAACTTACTTCATTCATCTAGATTGCTTTTATAATTAATAATATTTAATTATATGCTATTTTAAAGCATGTGTGTCCGAGTGACTGCAGAATGACTGCTGCAGACGTTCTGCTGATGGTCAGAAGCTTGTCTGAGCAGGACTGCTGTTTGTTGTGGATGTTGCGGTTTGTCTGACAGCAGTCTTGAGTGTTTGGACTGTCCTGTCCTCCTGTCCTCTGTCCTGCTGCTGGTATTGTTGTGTCAGCTGTGAAAGCGTGTGTGTGTATGTGTGTGTGTGTGCACTCTGTTGGTTATGGAGAGACAAACAGTGGCCATCAGGACTCATCATCTCTCTGGATGCTGACAGGCAGTGTTGCCAGAGTTTGCCGTTTTTCCGCACCATTAGGCACTTTTGAAAATGCAGTTCTGGGAAAAATATGAAGTTGTTTAGCATAAAGTGCCAAAGACATTGAAATGTTTATTTTTACATGAAGACAAAATGAAAATCCAAGTCATTTCGGAGTTTAATCCCGGAATGCATACCTGGCAACCCAAAAATGCTGCAAGTGAGCGAGCAAAGCTGCCGTAGCTTTTGGGAGGGCTTTGGGTTCAGGCTTTGCTGGAAATTTTTCATGGACCTGGCAACCCTGCAGACAGGAGCCTCTGCTAACCTTTACTATCAGTTCGTAAATGTGCATAAAATATAAAATAATGAAATATAAATGTTCATGAATGTTTATAAAGTTCATAAAAGTGCATAAATGCTAAATCATTTATATATTTGTCTGTATTAAAATGTTATGTAAATTGTTCTATGTTAATTCAAAACAATAACGAATACATTCAGTAATATGTTACATTATTTATTTACAATAGTTTTTATATTCTAATTTTTTTTACAAATATTTCATCAAATATTTCAGTTTCTTAAAAAAAATTAAGCAAAAAAATGAAAGAATAATATATATTACTAGTCTCGGTGTATGAAATGTTATGTAAATTATCAATAAATGCATGCATACATCAGTGAAATAAAGGAATATGTCTAATATTACTGAATAAATTACATAAAAACATAAATAGTTCACTGATTAATCTCAATTAATAAATATAGACTTTGTATTACTTAATATATTATCAAGATAACGATATTATTCAAAATTTATAATTACACATCATTTTTTATTATGCATTCTTTCATTCATTTTCTTTTCGGCTTAGTCCCTTTATTAATCAGAAGTTGCCACAGTGGAATGAACCGCCAACATATATGTTTTACATAGCGGATGCCCCTTCATCTGCAATCCAACACTGGGAAACACCCATATGCACTCTTTCACACACACACACTCACTACAGCCAATTAAGCTCATTCATTTCACCTATAGCTTTATAGGGTAAACCGGCGAACCCGAGGTTCGAACCAGCAACCTTTTTAGTGTGAGGTAATAATTCTTCTGTCATGTATATAGTGAATTGTTTCTCTGGTCACTTGAGAATGTTTCAAAGACAGAAAGATGTCTTCAGTTTGACTTTTATTGTTATGGTGTTACTTATGAAACAAGAGAAGCTTCAAAGCAGTTTCAGGCCCACGAGACTTTGCCGTTTCCCATGATGCATTGCTGTCATTTCCTCTAATGTGATGAGTTTGTGCATTAGCCATGTGTTTTATCCCATTTCCTGAGCGTAACCAGCCCTGATCAGCAAACATTAATAAAGCCAGCAGAGTCGGCGGACACACGACTCCGTGTGTGTGTGTGTGTGTGTGTGTGTGTGTGTGTGTGTGTGTGTGTGTGTGTGTGTGTGTGTGTGTGTGTGTAAATCTTCCCCTTTAGTCTTCTAGCAGACAGAGTTGGATTCAGGCTTCCCGGTTCATGTTACATGTGCATAGAGAGAGTCTGTGTGTAATGTCTGTGTGGATGTGTTGGTGTATGCCATTTTCATTGCATATATCATTCTCTCTTTTTGCTTAAACTGTTTTTTTATAATTATTTTTAATGTAAATATTTTTTTTTATATTTTTGGGGGCAGATTTCATGTGGATCTGAACACAACCTGGCTGTTGTGGGTGAGTACAATGTGCTATTTTTAAATTTAATTTATTTATTGTTTAATTTTATTTTATTGCTGTATAGTATTACTTTTTTGTTGTTGTTGCTGTTTTAGTGTCATTTTAATGTTGTATTACAAGCCCAAAACAGAAAAGGTTGGGACAGTAATGAAAACGCAAATAAAAAAAGGAAGAAGTGATTTCTAAATTTACTTTGACTTGTATTTTATCGAAGACAATACAACAAACATTATTTAATGTGTTCCTCGTGATTTTTTTCTAATCTTGCAACACATTTAAAAAAAAGTTGGAACAGTACAGCACTTTATAATTATATAGATACCCCTTTGTAATGTTGCCAATCCCTCCACAACACTTTAAAGACATTTAGTGACTGAAGACACCAAGAGATTTTGTCCCATTCTTCCTGCAAACAAGTCTTATGTTGGCCAACAGTGCGGGTTTTTGTTGTCGCCACACATTCTCTATTGGAGACAGGTCGGGGCTGCAAACAGGACAGTTAAGTACCTCTATCCTCCCCAGCCAGGACTTTGTAATGAGTGCAGAATTTAGTTTTGCATTGTCTTGTTGTAATATGCAGGGGTATCCCTGGAAAAGAGGGCAGCATATTGTGCTCCAAAATGTACTTTTCAGCATTAATGGTGCCATCACAGAAATGCAAGTTACCTTTGCCAAGGGCACCAACACAATGCCATACAATGACAGAGCTTGTCTTTTGGACTTGTTGCTGGTGACAGTCTGGATGATTGTTTTCTTCTTTGGGCTGTGTCCACTATGATTGTCCATCCCAGATTCCTCCGAGCCCAGAGAGGTCAACGGCATTCTGGACACTGTTAACATAGGGCTTTCTTTTGGCACAGAACAGTTTTAACTGGCATTTGTGAATGTAACTACATATTGTGGTGCCTGACAAAGGTTTGCCAAAGAAGTCCTGAGCCCATGTGATGATATCGCTTACAGATGAATGATGACTCTTGATGCAGTGCTGCCTGAGGGATCGAAGGTTACCGTAGTTCAGCTTAAACTTGCACCCTTGTCAAGTTCCTCCAGATTCCTTAAAGCTTTTAATCATGTTATGCACTGTTGAAGGTGAAATATCTAAATGTCTTTCTATTTTTCTTTGAGGAACATTGTTTTTAAACATTTCAATAAATTTCTCATGCATTTGTTGGGAAACTGGCGATCCTCTGGCCATCTTTGCTCCTAAAGGACTAGACCTGTCTTGGATGCTGCTTTTGTACCAAATCATGATTGCAATCACCTGCTGACATCACCTGTTTCACATTACATCATTATTTACCCATTGTACCTGATTGCTAGCGCTAAACTGCTCCTGTCCCAACTTTTTTAGGAGTGTGTTGGAGCTCTGAATGACAGGAAAGGATGTATATTTACAAATGAAATGACGTTAACCAGACCAAAGATATATTGTGTTGAAATAATTTGTGTTTATTTGTCTGCAATGAAATGTTTGGAAATCACTACTTTCTTTTTTTATTTGCTGTTACCATACCGTCCCAACCTTTTCTGATTTGGGGTTGAACGTTTGCGATGGCAGTAATTCTGCAATATCCTAATGTGTGAAGCAGCTCATTCTGGGCAGCGTCTGCTTTGACATTGAGCCTGAGAGAGTAAAAGCCTGGATTACCGCAAAGTAAAGCAGCAGTTTGAGATTTGACGGTCAGAATTAAAGCCAAGAGCGTCTGGATTACAATAATAAGACATTTCCAGCGTTAATGGAGATGAATATCTGCTACTGGAGTAATTAAGCGCCTCTGATCTTTACTGCTATCATTGAAAGGCGCTGGGAATTTAGTGCTCGTGTCTTTGTTTAAGGGCATCAGACAGAAATGAGCTTTCGCTGCAAAAAAAGTACAACTTTTTTTGATGGAATGTAAGCTTTGGATCTGTTAAATTCCCATTAACTTGTGCAGAGGGCAAAAAAATAGTTTGAAAGCTTTAAAATAGCTTCATTGCATCACATTATTGTTACATTAATCATATTTTATTTCATTTCCAAAGCAAAAGAAAAACACAAGATTACAGTTTTGACCTCAAACTCTCATTAGCTTTATTCAAAATAAAATCAATTTCTTGTTATGTATGTATGTATGTGTGTGTATGTGTGTGTGTGTGTGTGTGTGTGTGTGTGTGTGTGTGTGTGTGTGTGTGTGTATATATATATATATAGATAGATAGATAGATAGGTAGATAGATAGATAGATAGATAGATAGATAGATAGATAGATAGATAGATAGATAGATAGATAGATAGATAGATAGATAATAATTATTTAAAAGAAAGTATGTAACAAATAATTTTAAATGTGTGTTCATAAAATTCAAATACACAATGTGTAATGTGTTTAACTTAATGATATAATTAAATGACAAATCAGATATTTTAAATAAAATTATTATTATTGTTATTATTAGTAGTAGTAATAGTAGTATTTAATATTATTTATAGTATTTAAATTATATTAACTAAATACATTATAGCAACTTAACAACTATAACATTTGAATGTTATTATTAATAATGTAATTAATCATCAGCTTTTTTTCACATATAGATTTTTCCTATTTATTTCATTTTCATTCATAAAATTATGATGATTAATATTATTATTATATTACTAATGTTATTATTATTATTTTATTCTAAAAAATGTATATGAATAATTTTATTATATTGACTTTTTGTTTGGAATTAATCATAATACCTAAATACATTGAACATTTAAATGCTGCTAATAATAATATAATTAATCACCCGCTTTTTTTACATATAGATTTTTCATTTATATTTCATATTCTTTTCCATAATATAAATTATTATTTTTATTACCATTACATTATTATTATTATCATTATTATTATTATTATTATTATTATAGAAAATATGCATACATATTTTTAGTTCTATTCACATTTTTAATGATTCTTGCTACACAACTGTGTTTAAACCCCTTATAAAAGTGAATTTTGCATAATAGGTCACCTTTAAAGGTTTCTTGTCATTTATTTATTTATTACAATATGTTTACATCCATCCAGTCATTAGTAAAAATACTTAATTTGATTATTCATTCATTCATTCACTTTCTTTTAGTCTTAGTCCCTTTATTAATCAGGGGTCGCCACAGCATAATGAACCGCTTACTTATTCAGCATATGTTTTACGCTGCTGAGGCCCTTCTTGCTGCAACCCAGTTCTGGGAAACCCCCATACACTCTCATTCCCACACTTATACACAACGGTCAATTTAGCTCACCCAATTCACCTATAGCACATGTCTTTAGACTGTGGGGAAAACTGGAGGAAACCCAAGCCAACACAGGGAAAACATGCAAACTCCACACAGAAATGCCAAATGACCCGACCAAAGCTCGAACCAGCGACCTTTCTGCTGTGAGGCGACAGCGACAGCAAAAAAAAAAAATTTGTTCCCCCATAATTAAATCAAAATATGCATAGATTTCCCTTTACATTACATTTCAAGTCTTCTGTTTTGTCTTTTTTTTTTCGTTTTTTTGAAGGACCCCTGTGTGACCCCAAAACGATGCTTTATAATGTTTCTTTAAATGACTTTACGCAGTGAATCAGAAAAGCCTCTCTCTCTCCCTCTCTCTCTCTCTCTCTCTCTCTCTCTCTCTCTCTCTCTCTCTCTCTCTCTCTCTCTCTTCATGATTTCTCTTGTCCAGATTAGTATGCTGTACTGTGTGTTTCTATGGTCTGTAAGAGTGTTGCTATGGGAACAGTTGTGCTGCACATCAGCCACTGAGCACCAGCTCTCTTGTTTTTGAGAATAACACATAATCCACACTCAAAGAGCATCAACTGCTGAACAAAATTAAAAAAAATGGGGCTCTGTTTTTCAGTCCCTCCAGGGTTTAGTGCAAAACATGCAGAGCTAATGCTGCAAAACTTTGAGCAACTTGCATTTTTATTACAAATTTCTGCAGATTTTGGCCAGTCTTAAACACATCATGACGATAATAATATCAGGAGTTTATTGAAATGTTCATAGCGGGTTAAACTGCTCATAAATGGCAGTTTGGAGCACTTGTATATTAGCACTTGTTATATATCCACAAATGTAAATCATTTTCACATTAGTATATCAGACCACTGGAGTAAAATGCAAATACATATTCAGTGCTTTAAATGATATATATTCTGTATTTCTGACGACACTTAAGTGCTTAGTTTAATGATGTAAGCGCTGTAATTTAAAATTCTGGTGGGCAAAACACAAATTAATCAAGTATTTTTGATAAACATTTTTATGATTTGGCTAACATAAACAACGTTTGATAGTTTTTATGATCATTTATAGTCAGATATGCTAAGGTTTGCTAATGTACAGTTGAAGTCAGAATTATTAGCCTCCCTTTTAATTTTTTTTCTTTTTTTAAATATTTCCCAAATTATGTTTAACAGAGTGAGGAAATTGTCACAGTATCTCTGATAATATTTTTTCTTCTGGAGAAAGTCTTATTTGATTTATTTCGGCTCGGATAAAAGCAGTTTTTAATTTTTAAAAAAACATTTTAAGGTTAAAATTATTAGCCCCTTTAAGCTATAAATTTTTTCGATAGTCTACAGAACAAACCATCATTATACGATAACTTGCCTAATTACCCTAACCTGCCTAGTTAACCTAATTAACCTAGTTAAGCCTTTAAATGTCACTTTAAGCTGTATAGAAGTGTCTTAAAAATATATCTAGAAAAATATTATTTACTGTCATCATGGCAAAGATAAAATTAATCAGTTATTAAAAATAAGTTATTAAAACCATTATGTTTAGAAATGTGTTAAAAAAAAACTCTCCGTTAAACAGAAATTGGGGAAAAAATTAACAGGGTGGCGAATAAATCAGGGTGGCTAATAATAATTCTGACTTCAAATGTATTCGTTTTAAGCAGTAAACACTTAAAGGAACACTCCACCTTTTTTGGAATAGGCTCAGTTTGCGATTGTGTACTCAAAAAGTTAAAAGTTGATATCTTCTAGGCCGGTATGTCCTGGGACTATTCTCTCATTCTGGCGTAATAATTGAGTATTGAGAGAAGTTTAGTTCCTAGTCATATTGTTGTAGAAAATAGCAACTTTTCATTTTCTTTCAGTCTTATACACAATGTCACTACAGAAGAGTCCAGCTTTAAATAGGAAAATTATTCAAACTCTTTTTTACATTTTTTTGAGTAAGATGCTAATGGTCTAATCCGATTCAATGATCTATGCTAAGCTAAGCTAAAAGCGCTTCCACCAGACCCAATGATCGGCTGAATGGATTAAAAAATATGGTAAAATACAACTGTTTACCTCTAGGTGACTTGCAAAATGTGCCTATTTCCTTCTCTATTTGTTTCTCTCAGTGTTTCCATCATATAAATTACAAAGCTTGTTAGTTCTTTCATTTAAAAAGCAAAAAACTGAAAGTATGTTTATTTATTTATTTGACATGGACATCCCAACTACACTGGACAACCAAATGCATTTGTTTAAGTGTTTTAGCAGACTTCCTAATTCTCAACCTCTGTTCAAGGCAGGCTTGACATCAAATGAAAATGAAATAGATACATACGCACATTACATTGTATGTATTGTATCTATTGTATTTGCACAGAAAAGCCACTACAAAACCAGTCAGAAAAAAATGACCAGTGACATCTTAAGTTTTATTTTTAATTATTATTGTCATGCAAAACAATCATACTTTTGTTATTGTAAAAAAAAAAATAAATAAATAAATAAATAAATCAGATATTAGCTGTTATGATGTCTTTGTGATAGTGGAGCTGTGTGCGAGCGTGTGCTGAAGTGTGGCAGACAGACAGAATGAGTTTTGCCCTTGAGAAAGCGTTCCCACTCCTGGTTGCCATGGTGACAGGAGCTGTTATGTAAGCATGTTGCTGTGGCACATGCTTCCATGGCGATGCGGACTTGGCCACGCCCACCAGCTGGACGTGTGTAAGAGCTGTTCAAGATGACTCTGTCAGATCCGCACATTCATAAGCTTCATCTGGACACCCTTCATTCATAACAGTCATACACACAATATCCCAATCAGATTATTTTCTGTCTGTCACTCTGTTTATCTGTTTATAAAAATATAATTTATCAAATTCTTGTGATTTTATTAGAAATATATATAAATTTAATATTCATTCGTTCATTTTCCTAAGGCTTAGTCTCTTAATTATCAGGGGTCACCACAGCGGAATGAACCGCCAATTATTCCGGCATGTTTTAAACAGCGGATGCCCTTCCAGCCACAAATCAGTACTGGGCAACACCTATACACACTACGGCCAATTTAGTTTATCCAATTTCCCTATAGTGTATGTCTTTGGGGGAAACCGGAGCACCTGGAAAAAACCCACAGAAACATTGGGAGAATATGCAAACTACTCACAGAAATGCTAACTGTCACCGCCGGGACTCGAACCGGCAACCTTCTTACTGTGAGACCACAGTGCTAACCACTGAGCCACTATGTCGCCCTTTCTAAATCATTTTACAGTAAAAACATTATTTCATTAAATATGAATCGATTTGAATATTTGTCTATTTTCTTTTATTTTTTAATAAAATTTGTAATGATTAATTTTAAAAATAAGACTTTTTAAATTATTTTACAGTAAAATCAAATTAACCCCTCAGCGTTTCTGTGACATTTGCTTAAAATGCTTAGAAAATGCATACCCAAAGTAAATTGCATGCTATTTTTGAACCCTTCTTTAATATATCCATGGTTTTGGTCTCTTTTAAAAGGTGACACACTAAGGTTTATTCCTTAATAACCAGAATCACTGTAAATGTTATTGATATTGAGTAATTAAGTTTGGGACGCTCTGAAAAATAAAATAATAAAACCCACCTAAACTTTTTATTTTAACTAATGCCGCAGATTGACTGTAATTAAAAGGGATTCGTTTGACAAGCCAATTGGGATTAAAGCATAAACAAATAAATGAATGGTTATCACAATATTTCCCCGATTGATTAATTACATGACAACGAATACAAGCTTTCTAAAATGTTATGCTTAATTATGCAAATAATCCATTATTTCGTTAAACATACACCAAATTGCATATTTTTTCATTCTTTTCATTTTTTTTTTTTTTTTTGGGTGATAAAAATAGAGCTTTCTATATTAGTCTACAGATTAAATTAATTTAAAAAATGCATACCCATAGTAAATTGCATGCTATTTTTAACCCTTTTTTAGTATATGCATGGTTTTGGTCTTATTTGAAAGGTGATACAGTACATTGAGTTTTATTCCTTTATAGCCAGAATTACTGTAAAAGTTATTGCTATTGAGTAATTAAACTTAGGACACTGAAAAATGTAAGATAAAAAATCTGCCTAAAATTTTTATCTTAACTAATGCTTACAGACAGGGGTGTGTGGGGGGAGGGGGGTCCAAAAGTTTACATTCATATAATTACTAATCACCTGTTTTTTAAATGGTCTGTCTCTAAAAGTGAGGGGGACGTATCCCCCTGTTTGCTTCGCCCCTGCCTGCAGATGACTTTAATTAAGAGGTATTAGTTTAAAAAGACAACTGGATCAAAGTATGAAGCCTTACCAAGCCAAATTTTCTTTATTGAAAACAGTAGCTTTGAAAATTAGTGTTTTATTCATATTTACCCAGGTGAATGTCTAGGCGCTTCTTAACACGGGCCACTTGGAGACACCAATTGACCCTTTTTAAATACATTTGTAAAAAAAATTGGTAATTAATCTATCGCATTATATTCGTTTTGGTTGTAAAAAAATTGTTTTTATAAAATCTGTAATTTTGACATTTTTTTCTATTAATATTTATTTTATTTTATTTTTTGACAAATAAAAATAAATAAAAAATATATTATATTTTATTATATTATATTATACTTTTTTGATTAATTAGTAAATGAAATGGGTGACACGGTGGCTCTGCGGTTAGCACTGTTACCTCACAGCAAATAGGTTGCTGGTTCGAGTCTTGGTTGGGTCAGTTGGCATTTCTGTGTGGAGTTTGCATGTTCTCCCCATGTTGGTGTGGGTTTCCCTCACAGCCCAAAGATATGCGCTATAGGTGAATTGAATAAACTAAATTGGCTGTAGTGTATGTGTGTCAATGAGGGTGTATAGCTGTTTCCTAGTACTGGGTTGGGGCTGAAAGGGTATCCGCTGTGTAAAACATATGCTGGAATAGTTGGCGGTTCATTCCGCTGTGGCGACCCCTGATAAATAAAGGGACTAAGCCGAAAGAAAAGGAATGAATAAATGAATTGTATATAAAATAAAGATCCATAAATATCCATCTTTCCATGGTCATGGGTTACATCTGTCTCTGTCTGTCTCTCTTCAGGGGGTCGGGTCTTCTCCTGGGGCTGGAATGAACATGGAATGTGTGGCGACGGTTCCCTTCAGGACATCACACAACCTCAGCCAATCCCTGCTCTCGCCGATGCTGTGGCTCTTCTGATTGGCTGTGGAGCAGGGCATTCAATGGCACTGTGCAGTTTGAAGAGCAGTGAAGACTCAGCAAGATGAGCAGGTTAAACTTTCACCCCTTTGACTGTCATAGAAACTGTCAGCTTACACAACCGTTTAATGAATTATTCACAAAGACGCATTTAAAACTTTAAAGGACAAGATTTAGATCAAAAATCACACACACATTAAAAAGGTTTAAAATATGCAACATAATGCTAAAAATAATTTTGTTTAGGCTGACTACATTCATGTCTTAAATTAGATTATTTATTTAATTATTTTAGTTGGCTAAATGTACACTTTAGTATGCTAAGACAAGACACTGCAGGTGAAAAGGGTATAAAAATGAATTAAATTAACAAAAAAATGAATGTTTATCACAATATTTTTCACAGTTGATTGAATAAATGACAAGTATTAAAATGCCTTGTTTATATATGCAAATAATTCATGATCAGTGTTGGGGAAAGTTACGTTTGAAAGTAATGCGTTACGTTACTTTGCGTTATCTTTCCCTTTCTGGCTGAGGTTTGATCTCTTTCAGAACTTGCAGGTGTTTTTTTTTACTCTTTTTATTGAGAAGCTCTGCATTTAACAACCACCTATATAACCGACACCCTTATTTTCCTTTAAGAAATGTAGAATAAAATTATATTTTGGGAGTTTTCTGATCCCAGAGCTATACATGCTGTATATACAGATTAATGAAGGCATGTGAAGTCATGTGTTTGCTACTTTTGAGTGTTTTGTGTTGTTAGGTAAGTAAATTCACTGTCCATTGAGATAAAGATTGCAATAAAGCCTAAGAGTACTAAAATAAAATAATTTGTATTAAGGCAAAAACCGATTTAAATTTTTTAAAATGTTTAATAACAAAATAAACAGTAAGACGATAAAAAGGCCCCAAATCAAAATAAATCTTTGAGTTTTATACATTGAATTAATAGCTTCATGTGGCCTTAACAAATGTGTAAATGGTTTTGCAAAAGAGAACATTTTTTACTGTATTACAAATTGTAGTCACTTCTACAGTAACATTAGACAGTGGCTGTATCTCCTTAACAATTAAAGAAATAACCATTTTTTTTAGTTTAGTTGTTTTACCTGGAAAACGTGAACTGATGTCAATCATAGCTGGAGGTGGGGTGTGAGTGTAGTGCTTCGCATTCAGTTTTGTTTTTGTTTTTTTAATGTTGTGTTTCTTGCAGTTGTTAAGAGTTTTACTTACGCATAATGTACATCTAACCATAATCCACTTCTTTTTTTTCAATAAGTTCAAAATAAGAATAATCCATTGCAAAAATATAAGTGTCCGGCCTGCCATAGTTTCTGTTTCTGAATGATGACGGGCAATTTACGAATGAATTATTTGTTTTAACCGGATCTTCTTAGTGAATCGGTCGACCAGTTCATTGAATTGAAGTTCTTTTCATTGAGTTTTCATGAAACGGTTTGCATCTTAAGTAAGTATTAACATACCGTATACCTCCTCTGACTCGAAATAAACCCATATCCTGAGTTACTCAGTTACTAGAACAGTACACTGACTCATCTGCTGTAAAAAAGCAGAGCTGATGATGATGATGAGTGCATGTCTCTCATTGAGTGTGTGATTTAACCTGACTAAAGTCCTTTTTAATCCGCAATATCCTTTGTAAAATCCACTTAAGCAAGGTAAAAAGTAACTTGCTTTACATTTTTTTAAAAAGTAACTCAAATAATATGACTTATTTTTAAAAGTAATGCTCTCTTTACTCGTTACTTTGGAAAAGTAATATTATTACGTAACGTGTGTTACTTATAACGCACTACCCCCAACACTGTCCATGTTTTCATTAAACATAACATAACAAACCTGAACATTGGATATTTACAGGTTTAAAAATTCTTATTTCTTTTTTTCTACTTGAACATCTCCCTCAGTAAAAACAAATTTCAAAGTTATAGACCTGAGTAAAGCAGTGTAGTTTGGGGTTTGTAAGAGCTGCTAAAGTGGAGGTGTATGCTTTTAAAAATATTTCTTGCATTTAAAAATTGATCAAGTGTGATAAAAGGAAATTTTAAAAGTGTATTTTGGATTTTTTTTGTAACATTAGACGGAAAAAAAAACACTATGGAAAGCCCAAAACCCCGAATCTTAAAACGTGATTTATCTGTGGTTTTACAGCCGTTCTGAAACACTGTATTGACTGAGGAGAGTCCGACTGAATCAGATGCTCATTCTCCAGATGGCTCTTGTACACATCAGTGCCGAAATGGCCAATCATTTGCTATGATTGGTAGTCAAGGATCGTTTTCTCTGACCTTTTACCTCATGAGGACATAGAGAAACACTTAAATTACCTTCACTGTAAAACCAGTAACTGAAACAGATTTACTGCAGTGAAATGACCTGCTGGAAGGCACAGAGTTTCCGACTGACTAATTACATACACTTAAGGGAAAAATTATTAGCCCTCCTGTTAAATTTTTCAAATATTTCACTTGTTCCGTTTAACCGAGAGGCTTAATTTGCATGCTTTTAAAGTGATTAAACTAATTTCTTTGTCTTTGCTATGATGACAGTATGTGATATCTTACAAGTTATTAAATAAGATACTAGCTTTCAGCTTAAAGTGTGATTTAAAGGCTTAATGTTAAGTAGGAAATTTAAGTTGATTAGGCAAGTCATTTGGATAACAGTGGTTTGTTTTGTAGCCAAAAAAAAAAATAATAATTTCTTAAGGGGGTTAATAATATTAAGTTTAAAAACTGCTTTTAAAGAAGTTCCTACTCTTAAATTAGTACATTACATCTGGAAAAAGAATCGGGTATACCCTAATACAGTGTTCACCAAACTTGTTCCTGGAGGGCCGGTTTCTAGCGGATTTTAGCTCCAACCCTAATCAAACACACCTGAACAAGCTAATCAAGAGCTGCGTCCCAAATCGCATACTTATGCACTATTCTACGCCATTTTGTAGTATAAATAGTGTAAGTAGTGTGTTCACGCTGAAAACTATAAAAATAATAAGTGCACTTTAATTATCTGGATGCTGCACTCATTCAGCTGGTAAAATGAAGTGTGTAATGATGGACACTTCACGCACTCAACGACCACAGGTTTGCTCACGTAGCGGAAGGGGCGGAGCTATCGGGCGCACATGTTGGATAACTTTATTTATTTTGGATGATGAAAGCAAAATTCTCATACGAGAAAGATTATAGCGCTCCCCGATGGTGAATGCGGCAATACTCACGGCAGGTATTATTTGATAATTCGGTTGTTTGATTGAACTGATTGATAATTCGGTTGTTTGTTGAACTGATTTGACGACCGTCAAACGTCATCAGGGAAACGGTTTGAATTTCTGCTTAGTAAAAAAACATAAGTGTGCCATTTGGGACGACACTACATACATGTACTATCCTGTTGAGTGTGTAAGTGCATAAGTACATTGTGCATGAGTGCATAGTGTATAGTGTGCCATTTGGGACGCAGCTAAGGTCTTACTTGGTATACTTGAAACATCCAGGCAGGTGTGTTGAGGCAAGGTTGGAGCTAAACCCTGCAGGGACACCGGCCCTCCAGGACCAGGATTGGTGACCCCTGCCCTAATAGATAAGATTTAATTATTTGAATAATAATTATTTATTTCCTTTCTGCAAACTTGTTTACTATGCCTTAAGTAGCTACTTTTACTATTGGATAGCACTGATGGGGGGTTGGTTGGGGGAAAGTATGTTTAATTTTTGTTTAAATATTATTTTTAGCACTGTTGGTTGTTGTTTTTTTAATGTCTAATTGATAAAATGTAAGTTTTGTTTGTATTTTTAAAAAGTGTATTTACAAGGGAATGTCTGCTAAATTTCTATTAAAAAAAAAAAAAACTGCTTTTCTATAGCCAGACTAAAAGAAATAAGAATAATACTTTATCCAAAAGAAAAAATATAATAGGAAATACAGTGTAAATTCTAAAAAAAAATTTAAAAAAATATTTTAAAAAGCTGGGAAATACTTTAAAAAGAATAAAAACTTCACAGGAGGGCTGATCATTTTGACTTCAGCTTTATACAGCTATGGGAAATAATTAAGATAATTGTAAATAAAGATTTAGAGCATTTACTGTATTTCTCCAAATATTCATTTTGTAACTCTTTCGAACACTATAAAAAATGCAGGGCTCCACACAGTTGATTTGGAAAGAATTAAGTACTTTCTAGTTTTTACAAATTGAAGTAGATTGAACATAGCACTGTAAAGTTGTCCCAAAAAAAAAAATTAATAATTTTGTTTTTTCAGCTTATTTTATAGTTAATTTTATGCAATAACACTGATATTGTTTTGTGTCTAAAACGGTGTCTTTTTGTCATTTTATGCAAAGTTTTTGAATACTTAGTGGACAAAACTCATTACTACAAATTATAAATCCATCCATGTACACTACCTGACAAAAGTCTTGTCGTTTATCCCAGTTGTAAAAGCAACAAATAATAACTTCTAATTGATAATTTGGAAAAGTGGCAGATTTTTCAGGTGAATCATCTGCTGAACTGCATCCCAGTAATCACAAATACTGCAGAAGATCTATTGTAACCCGCATGGACCCAAGATTCTCATGGAAATCAGTCAAGTCTGGTGAAGGAAAAATCATGGTTTGGGGTTATATTCAGTATGGGGGCGTGCGAGAGATCTGCAGAATACATGGCAACATTACAGCCTGAGATATCAAGACATTTGTGCTGCCCATTACATTACAAACCACAGGTCAGGGCAAATTCTTCAGCAGGATAGCGCTCCTTCTAATACCTCAGCCTCCACATCAAAGTAAAGCAAAGAAGGTCAAGGTGCTCCAGGATTGGCCAGCCCAATCACCAGACATGATCAGTATTGAGCATGTCTGGGGTAAGATGAAGGAGGAGGCATTGAAGATGAATCCAAAGAATTCTGATGATCTCCGGTGGTCCTGCAAGAATGCTTTCTTAGCCATTCATGATGACTATAATAAGTGATTTGAGTCATTGCAGAGATGGATGGATGCAGACGTCTAAGCTCATGGGAGTCAGACACAATATTCATTC